GGTCACAGGGCTATACCCCAGCACCGGCCAACGTCATTCTGACGTCGGCAAATCGAGAGCACAAAGCACCAACGCTTGGTAAGACATGATGGTGATGTGCTACTCTTGTCCTGGATCTTTAAAGACAACTGTCTGCCTCCCAGTCTCAATTGTAGCGTTGTTACTCAAAAAATTGGGAAAGAGGCTCTCCTCCCTCCCCCCTTCTTACGAACCTATCCCAAAGCTGCTTCCACCGAAATGGTTAACCCGTCTCGGCCCCAACTTGGGACAGACCCACAATCCCCTCCCCTATCCCTTACCCTAATCTGCCCCCGCTGGGATGAGTATCCCCACCCCAACCCCAGACTAGGGCGACCCCTAACTCTGCCCGCACTCCCTCTAGGACGACACTTCCCATCTTGTCACCCTTGCAGAGTGGAGCTCTCCCTTACTACCATGATCCTCCAATCATCGGAAAAAACATAGAAGCGCAGAGAGGAAAACAAATGATTATTAATAGAGAAAATAATGAAGTGGAAGAATTGACAATGGTTGTGAAACTTAAAAGACCAGATTAGATTATGGCATTTGAATTAGGGTAGAATAGCTGATGTATACATAGTATATAAGATGTAGAAATTCAATAATTCAATAGTAAGATAAATAGGCATGAAATAATACCCTCCAAGATAACTAATAGTGAAGATCCAGAGCTTGAGAGTCATGAAGAATCAGGAATATTCAAAAAAATAATTAGGAAGTTATTATAGTTATTTAATTAGATTGTTACTTGTGAGAATATTTGTGGTCGATGATGATTGATTAAAGTAGTAAATTTTTAATTTAGTCAAGAAGAAAGCTTAAACTGGAGGAAAAAAGGAAGGACGATCTTGATGAGAATAGCATTTCAGGGATTGCTAAAAAAACAGATCGTGAGAAAAAAACGCCTTATGTCAAAATATTGAGATGAGGAGCATGTGAGTCTCCCCCCTCCCCTTCTATATTTATTCTCTCGACCTCCCTGTACCTCGATCTTTGCCCCCAACGTTCCTTCTCCCTTACTCCCTCCCTCCTTTGTACCCTGCCCCTTCTCCCTCAGCACACGCTAGTACACGACCTTGCAAGCCAGCAAGCAACCCTAAAAGGCAGCTCACGGCGCCACAAGCCGTCACGTAGTACCGCTGGACCAGCACTGCCACACTGCGAATCTGGCGAGAAGCACCACAAACCAGTGCAGCGAGCTAGTAAGCAGGGCGGAGAGACAGAACAACGTGCAGGAGAGAGGAGAGGAAGGAGAGAAAGGAGGGAAAGGAGGAAAAAGTAGAGATGATAAGATGAAAGGTATGACGAAGGAGAGTAGAGTTAGAATAGAAAGAGAGACACTCCATCCTAAATCTACCCCTATTCACGCACCTCGTGCCCACGGTTAAGGTGATAATGATGATGATGACATGAATAATAATGGCGAAACTTACCTTTGTATACAGCTGATAATGACGATGATTGGTGATGCTAATTGCTGCTGCTGATGATGATGATAAGATACCTACTCACGTATCGCTGAAGATGGTGAAGACAGTGCTGATAAAGATATTGCCAGTGATGATGATCCTCGGTAATTGAAGCGAACAGGAAGACGATCAGTCGGCTAGTAACCTCGAGTAGAAGCCCTCGCTCCTTTAATGAACCCTTGAGTAGATCTTGGACTTCACTCGATGACCACCCACTCATTTCCTCCCAACAATCCTCATCCCAACCCATGGGACACACTCTACTCTTCTTTTTCTTGCGGCTAACTGACCTCCTCTACCACAAATTTGCAAGACAAAGAGTATAAGTTATCACTCCTGAAGCAAAGCTCAACAAAAGCAATACTGTCCTCCGTACGGCATGCTAACTTGCAGCATCACTCATATGGAGCACGAAACAGAGAGATGGCACACCGGTGCTTTCAAAAGCCAGGGGGAAGCAAGTGTAGAGGAACCAGCCCGTTGCCGCCTTCCAGAATCCACCTTATTGCGTTTGTAAATTACCCTTCCAGCCAAGCGCCGACACCTGCTCCAGAACCAGAAAACCTCAATGCAAGGTTAGTATCGATGTGACACGCTCACTCATGGGCTAGCAGCTGATGTGTGAGACCCTCAGTCGGTAACTCCCTTCCGGCCACCATCCCAGCAGGCTGTAAAGGATGTCTGCACCCATTCCACCAACCTTACATGCTCTTCTTGCCAAGTTCTCACGTGGTCCCTGCTCGCCTTGCTCGCCCAACTTCGTTCTTTTTTTTTTTCTTTTTTTTTTTTTTAAACATCTATGTTGAGGAGTAGAGGACGTGCTGATAAGAGTAGACACTCCTTCTACTCCCCTAGATGGATAGATGGCTCCGTTCCATTGGTGGGGAGCTGCACCTGCTGGAAACCGGGTCCAGCGTCCCTTTTTCTGATTGTTGGGGTAAGGGAAACCGTTAGCACAATGAGGGGTAAAAAAAGGTTGTATGTAAGGGTTGTAGAGAACATATGATACAAGAACAGAAGAGACGTGATAATCACAAAGAAAGTTGAAAAGAAAAGCTTCAAAGAAAGGGTATTCATGTTAGTTTGACTTGAAATTATTTAAAATCAAATGTCTTATTTTCTTTTCTTTTTCTAATAAAATATGTAACAGTTGATAGGTCGTCGTAGGGTCCGTAGGTAGCCTGGGTTCGATCTGTAGACCTGTCCAGTAGGAGTCCAGCCAGGTCTAGAAGTCGTAGCTGTAGGCTTCTCGAAGAGTCAAGGTCGTAGCTAGTCCAGTCCTGAAGGGTCAAGGTCGTAGCTGCGACAGGACCGAAAGGCCAAACCCACGGCCTTCTAGAAGGGCCCGGTGGTGGCCTTTCGAGGTTGCCCACATTTGGTCACAGGCAAGTGGGCAAGTGGTGGAAGTCCACCATGCAGAGTTAGCAGTCCCAGCCCAGTCAGTCCGGTCCAGTCAAGCAAGTACCGCCTGGGACTGTGTGCACCGTGGGCCAGGGAAAAGGGCAGACCGACGAGTCACAAAAGTATAAATCAAGAGGCCGCGCACAGCCATTCATTCATTCCTGCGGAAGCCATGCGGAAGCGCTGTCTCAGCGGCTTGTGCGAGGAGCTCTGCAGCAGCCCGAAGTCGAAGTGGGCAAGAGAGGCGAAGTGCAGCCAAAGCGATAGGGTAGAGGCAGCCATCGCTGCCATAGCTGTAGTTAGAGTGAAGTGTGTGTGTGTTGCATGAGTGTTCAGCGTGTCGCGTGTGGGATATCCAGGGTGATCCGTGTGTGAACAGTGAGTTGTTGGGCGCTGAGCCGCCATAGCCAGTGGAAGTGAACTCTTATCTGGACACCATATCTCTGAGTTC